GCTACGAATATCAATTTGCCCTCCCCTCATACCTACTCAAATCACAAACCGTGCCAGATTGATTTGGGTCCACTTCCCTCCCTTGCGGGGTCACTCATGTCTTTCTGTCTCTGCTGTAGACTGTTGTTCATCAACGCGGCCCAAATGGCAACGTCTCTCTGGTCAGTAGCCAGTCTGGCCGCTTCATGCACTCTCTACATAGTACATACATAGTCACTTACTTTGCTGTGCAGCTGTGCATGTCGGATGAATGTCTTCCAGGGAGTCCACTTTTAATTCGTTTTTTGCTTTTTTGGGGTGGTTTCTTTTTCGTTTTGCGTCTCTGCGGCTGCGGGCCCCCCATGCTTGCAGTAGTGAGCTTCCGTAGTCTCGGAGTAGGTAGTCTAGCCTGGCCCTGGCATGTCGATATTACCCGATTTACTGAGTATAGATGCGACATCATTCGGTACACGGTAGCCTCGTCGCGGCGGGTTGATTGGGCTTGTAAATCCGCGACGGCAAGACCCTCACTCCATGAACGATGGACACTTCTCCTCCCCTGGGCGGTGGCAAACCATTCAGACGGCAGAGAGGATGCCAAGCGGAGGGAAGAAGGGGGGCCGATGTTGTCAAGGGAGACCGTTCAAACAGCAGCGGGATTGCAAATTTAGCATCTACCTAGGTATTGCCGGATGGGGGATAGAGTAGAGCGAGCACGGTGATTTCATTTCCATTTCATTTTCGTATTCACCGTCCATGCAGTCCGAATTTCGAATAGTATCTTGATCAATCAATTGATTCCGGTCGTTTTTTTTTTTTTTGGTGAATCTTGGGCCCCACGGGAGAGAAGTTTAGGAGGGAAAGCAGGGTCCACCGGCGCTAAGTCTGTAGAGTCTGTTCGACCTGATACTGATAGTTAATCAAATTGTGAATGAAATATTAATTGATTGCAGAGACTCCCGTGCATTTCCAGTCGAGATAACGGGCAGTGATAAGCTGATAAGAATGTCATTAGCCGTGGTCATCGTAGCCAATGGACTTCCGCCGATCGGGGCCTCGATCCTGCTGGCAACGTAACCGGCTCTTCGTCGGATTTCCTTTTCCTCCGTGCTTGAAGCATCTCGACTTGTTTCTGTTTAGCTGTCGTTAGTACATTTAGTTCTTTGCCCTTTCACTTTGGTCCGATTTTAATTTAGTTTCTTCTTTTTGGTCTGTCGTTCTTGATTTTTCCTTCGGTCGGCAATCGTATTTGCTGCGTGGCAGAAAAAAGAAAAGAAACATCAAAGTTCAGTCGAGACCCCCCCAAATGCCAAGCTAAAAAGCAAAGGGCGAAATGTGGGCGAGTGGCGTCCCACGAGGAACCATTCAGAGGCCATTGTTCTCTCAATCCCTCCTCTATAACTATAAGCCGGGCAGTTATTTGTTTCTGGTCGACCGGGAAGGGGGAACAGACCACGCCACGCACCGCGGGTTGGCCTGGTGCCCTTTTGGACCGGATGCATTCGCAGCACCTTCCGGTGAGGGGCTCAAAAGGGAAACCAGTCAGACGGCGTTGGACGAGTAAGATGAGAGAAGAGGCTTGTCGTGTGCCTGGGCTAGCGGACCAGATGGCTGCCCTGTCCAGTTCTCCAGTGGCAGTGCGCTTCGAATAGACTTCTCCGCTGTCCCCAGAACTAACTGAGTACTCTAGAGTCTGTAGAGTAGAGCTGAAACCGACGAGGGTAACCGACAGAAAGGATGGCCGATCCCGACTCCACATCAAGCAATATGTTAGAGATAAGCAAGAGACAAACATGCCTAAGTCATAACCAAGGGGGATGTCGACTGTCGAGTGACGTACCTCTGGCCGTGACGGCAATGGACTAGTCTAGATAATCTACAGTTTTTGTCCTGTAGTACGACCTCGGATGCATCACTATGATGCCCATCCTTCCTTTTTCTTTGTTGCCTTCCCCAGTTTTGTCGGTGGAGCGTGGCGGGCTGCTCCGTCACTAGAGAACCGGAGCAAGGGAGCAATCGGAATGCAGATGAAGGTCATCGTCAGCTGTTGGAAATCCTGCCGCTGTTTCTGCTCTATCTCTTGTGGCGTTTCTTTTTCTTTTTCTTTTTTTGTTACTTCCCTCGAGCTTCCGACCGGGACATTTCGTTGTGATCATCCCCCACTCGAGATAAAACGATTGACTGACTCTCTCCAGTCTTTTTCTCGAGGGTGTTTTCGGTTTTCCTTTTCCACCTAAGCGGCTGCAGCGGACCCGCCGAAATAATAACAAGGGAAAGTAAGGCCGGCATCAACACCCCCCTGCACCAAGCATGTGCTTCCGCATATCTTAGATCATTGCAAGCACGGTCGCAATATCAACACGGACATCCCACACGGCTTGCAGTTCAGTGCAGATGGGATGGTGTGTGACATGGTAGGCTAGTTGAAGGGGGGTGTGAAATATCTCAAGCGAAGGAGGGAACCAGCTCGACTAGCGATGCAGGGCTGGAGCGAACAAATAGAACGGGTCGGTGGTGTAGCGTGGGTGTGGTAAGGTAGAAATAAGGTGAGAAAACGGGTCCCGGGGGAGTGGAAGGTGGTCGCTCGCTTTCCCCGCGTTCAGGTCTTTCTTTCATATATGGAAAAGAAAGCAAACAAAGGACAACCAAAATCCACGGGGGATGAGAAACGAGGGAACTGGAAAGGTGATGGCCGACCATTCCCCAAGCCTATTATATGACCATTTGAGACTCGGCGCTCGTTCCGACTACCATCTTATCACCCAACAGAATGCTGATAAGGCGTGATGCACGCTCGAAGACAAACCAGCGATAGAGGCGAAGGCGAATCTGCACGCCGAATCGAATCGAATAGAAGGGGCGGTCAAAGACTCAGCTCAGCTGGGCGACAAGAGTCGGTTTTTGTATGGATGGGAAGAAATAACCTAATCAAAGGAGAATGGCGATAACTGTGCATGTGTCAAGACGCAGACTCGTCCAGATAAGAGACTCGCCCAGAAAACACGTAGGTAGCAGCAGCAGGAAGACGATCCCCGTTGATTGTAACTGGCCTCGTCCAGAGCGTTATCTTTGTGCAATCCTCTATCTCTAGACGCGGCAGGTTGTGGATTGCGACTGTCAGAAAATTGAGGATCGGAGTTCCGATTGAGGCTGCTTTGTGTTTGGGCCCCGTGTTTTTTCTCCACAACTAAACCCTAGATGAGATAGAAGGGTTCTTTCGTTGTTCCTCTCGATCGCGATCGCACCGGCGGGAAGGGACTCATAGGTACTCGACAGTCTGTCTGGACTTACCATCTAAGACAGAGTCTCTTCAATCCATCAGCCGTCGCGATTCTCTTCAAAGTATAGATCTAGATCCAAGTAACGAACCTTTCTGTCCGCGGAGATCCTGACGTTTATTTCTCCGTCGCCCAGGTGCAAGTGCAACCTTACCTGGACGATGATAAGCGGAGCGTCGGTGCGGTTGGCAGATCCCGAACGACGCCAACGTTATCTTATATTAAGCTTTGCTTCATGATCTCCGTCATTGGCCATGCGGGAAAGTGAAAAGACTAGATATTGTGCCCAACTGTCCGTTTCATCTATCGAATCGGACCACTTATCTTCGACTTGAGGGTTATCGGGGATGATGACGATGGTCGATGAGGTGGGAAGTGTGTAGGATGGCAGGTGGTTCCTACCTAGGTAGGCAGGTGTGTATCGATTGCATTGTTTGCATCCTTGCAACGGAGTATAGGGACACGTGACCTAGCCCGGGGTGATCAACTCATCATAGGCAGTGTGGTTTGCATTCTACGTAGCTTAAGATAGGCAGATAATTCTTAGGAAAGTGAGGAAATACGATAGCTTGCTCGTCTTTCTTGGCCCGAGTAACGACAGCCGAGACCGGTGGTAGATAAGAGACTTGAAAATCTGCGGCTGACAGCTATGGTTACAGAACTGATAACCTGTCGATCTTGACTATCACTCGCTGCAATCTGTAGATCCGGAAGGGGCCTGAGTCTGTCACATCTAGATAAGTTTCACGGATGGCAGCATAGCTGATTACGATGATGTCACGAAGATGGACCAGAATTGGATTTCTCGATACCATCCGATTGAAGTCTCTACCAGTCCAACGCCATTGCGATGCAGCTTCGTGTCATATCGGTAAGTCTATCATTCCTGAACGTAATAAAGCAACGAAAGCAAAGGGGTCTATATGGCCAACATAATGAGGAGTAAGCTGAAGAAGATATGTAGATCTTGAAAAAGAAGGACAAAGGAAAAGGACATCAAACATAAGCTGCTTAGGAATCAGACTCCAAGCTCCCCCAACCACTAGCCGGTCCATCTATCAGGTAAAGTGAACAGGTCCCAGCCTAGAAGAGGACTCGTCGCAAACCAGTTTGGAAAGAACGGACGAAACCACCGGTCCACACTAGAGGTGTTTCATTCCGCCGTGGCTAAAGGTCACGTGGAGACGATCCAATCCAACGTCCACCAACGCCATTATGACCTATTATCAATGACACCTGTCCCGCTGGTGACTTAAAACGTAGCTCGTGAAACCAGACATGGATATCAATGTGTGAGAAAGAATAATTAGGAAAGAAAATCAAAAGGGGAAGAAGGGAGGGCGTGAACGAATCTAGCCGCCTGTCCGGAACGATAAACCCCGAGCACGTGCAACGACACCAGAGGAAGATGAAGGGGCAATCGGTAAAGATAAAAAAAAAGACGATGAAAAAGAAAAAAAAAAAAAAAAAGAAAAGAAAAATGGCTCTCATGGAAGAATGGAAAATGCCGCCCATGTAATCCTTTTGCGCCCGCTAATGACCAGCTGGTAAAGATGATGCCCACCAAGATGAGGTGTATAGCTGAATATGGAAGGAAAAAGAAAAAGAAATAATAGTAAGAAATAGAATGAAGCAATAAAGATGCAGCATTTCACACAGGGGGTATTATGCGACGGATGAGGTCCCTTGGTTTTGATCCTCTCGAACGTGAAGTTATCTGTTGTCAATCGCGCAGTTTGCCAATCACGGTGGCGATTGTCCGGATCCAGGATGGCCCATGGGTGGTTGAGGGCTACCATATGGCGCCTGTGGCGTGCCATCGCCCGTGTACATAGGATATTGAACGACATTCATCGGGGACATGTTGCTCATATCTGACCACCCGGGGAAGCCCATCGCGGGTGGTTGGCCGGGATAGGACACCGACACCGGCGTCCCTTGCAAATCGGTCGATGCAGGGCTCTGCGGATTGACGGGGCTTCGTGGGTATGCTTGCGCCGGGCTGGTCATTCTTCGTTTGAGATCCGGGGGTATCTGCTGTTGGAATTGACCGGGAGCGGGATATGGCACGGGCATCTCGGCCTGCGCGGGGAAAGTCATCGATCGCGGCGGGGCCATTGGCCAAACTGATCCGTCTGGTTGAAGGGTGTACCCCGTAGCTGGGTTCAGGGTCTGAGATTGCGATGGTACTGTTGGCGTTCCTGGAAGCCCGGACGCGGTCGGCATGCCTGCCATCGGGTTGGGCCCGGGACTCCATACCCCGGGTCCCATATTCATCATCGCGTGTTTTCCTGCTGCGGTCATATTTGCTAGGACTTGAGGATCTGAAATCGTAGTAAATTCGTCCCACGGAACGGATGGATCGAGCGACGGTCCCGGTGCAAACTCGGCGGCTCCTACATTGCGATCTATACGATCAAAAGGTCTCGTTAACACACCCGGAAGTTACTTCCCAATAAAAACAGTAGAAATGAGGAAAAACCACCCACCTGGCGCAAACTGAGCCATAGGATTCCCAGGGAAGCCTCCGGGATTGAATGCCGTAACGTCAGGACCGGGGTTTAGCGGCATTGGTTGATAAGGAAAGAATGCCTCCGTTTGCTCTCCCCCATTCCCAGTCGGAGGCGAAGATGAGGCCGTGGAGGGATCCGTCGATGCAGTTTCCAATCGCGAGCTGGGCCGGGATTTCTTTTCAACCGGAGGTTGTTGGTCAACGGGGAAGAATTGACATTCCTTTCGAAGTCGAATACAGTTTTCACATCGGCCTTGAGCGTCGTCGGCTGCTACGAGACATCGAATCTTTCGTCGCCGGCAGTGTACTGTCGCAAAGACGATGAGTACAAGATAGGGCGAGGGACGGAGGAGAGGGTGGAGGAAAAGAAAGAGAGAGACTAACCACATGCGACAGAGGTGCGATGATATCCTAATTTATTGCGCTTTTTGTCTGCGGCGGAAGATTCCATAACAGCGGCTTGCGAATTCGGGGTTGTTGAGGTCATATTTTCGACCACCGCGGGCATAGCTCCAGGGAGCGAGAAGAAAGAACGAAACCCCAAGGTACAGGGCGCATCAATCGCCGGAGGGGGGTAGACAAGAAGGGAGGGGAAGATAGTCGCAGACGGTGCGACGCCCCAGAAAACGGATTGGAAGGATGGGGCTACCCTAGATAGCGGCGAGGAATGACAGCACGAAGCCGGGAAGACTCATCCAATTCCATACACGTGTGATGGCGAGGAAGAGGAGGAGCAGGAAATCTGGGGGAAAACCGGTGACTGGATGATGATGCGCTGGTTTGGTGATAGTCGTCGTAGTACGTATCCCGACCTCCCCGTTTCAGCAACGTTACTCCACCTTCAGTCGACCTAGGACCGCCTGGTAACCAACAGGAAACACTCAATAGGGTGATGGATAATGAAGGCTTGGAATGTTTCACACGAGGAGACCCTGTAGACGAAACCGCGCTAAGGATGAGTTTGATTTGCGATTTCTGGATACTCTTTTTGGGCCTTCTTCCTTTTCTCTCTCTTTTTTTTTTTTCTCTCCCTTTCTTCTGTTGCGCCTCGGCCTGGTGCTCGTCTCCTCCGATGTCGTTGTCGAAAATCAATGACTGATTAGAATAGATTGGCTCACGCGTAATGCGTCCGTTGCGTCTCCGCTCACGAGATTGTTTGCGAAGATACCAACCGAGAGGGGAAGGAAGGAGTAGGTAAGGTAAAAAAAAAAAAAAGAATAGATGAGGAAGATGAAAGAGGAAGTAAAGACAATCGGAAAGAATCGAAAGGCAGAGAAACGAGAAGGAACTCGAATCGATCCTGGGAATATAGTTAAGGTAAAATGAAAAAAAAAAAAGAATATTAAAGAAAAAAAAAAGGATGGAATAAAATAAATAAAAAAGAATGATAGGTAATGACACTAATGACCGATCCAGATAATAATAATAGTAGTTGGATGTAAAGACTTAAAGGATGGACATGAAGTAATAATAAAATGGGGAAACGGAAGTGGTCATTAATATGATTGAAGGGGGGTTCAAGTAAAGGGGAAGGAAGAGAGAAGAGAGAGAAGAATAATGGCGAAAGAGACTGAAGGTGTACGGAGTAACTGCTGCTACCAACTCGACTCAACTTCTTCGGGATCGAGGATCTCGGGACTTTTTCGTCTTAGAGCAAGTCCCATTAGGGTAGGGATTGTTGATAGGTTGGAAACCTTGTATTGGAACTTGGGCTTCTACTACTTTCATTTCCATCTCTAGTGCAGCTCCCATTGTCTTAGGATGCCCATTCTATGCGGAATCAAACTCAATCCCCTTTCTTGGTTTTTCAATTTTTGGAAATTTTTACAGGACAATTAGCACAGGAGAAAATAAAGAGAGAGAAAAATAAATTTACAGAGTACAATAGGAGGACCCATGAGCAATACAGAACATAAGAAGCGAAAAAAAAGAAAAAGAAAAACAAGTTGGAGTGGATAAGAGATTTAACCAAAAGGGTAAATAATATGATCATAATCAGGATAATTATAGAAGGTCAAAATGGGTGATGATGAATCCCCCCCCAGGCATTAGATTCAGAACGTCCAATGGAATGCAGCCTTAAGCAGACCCTGAATAAGAGTCCAGATAGCTAAGCTGGGCAGGTCTTCACTAACCCGAGGATGAAACACCCAGTCATTTTTATTTTTATTATTATTATATTTCTTTTATTATTATTTTTTGCCCTTGCTAATTTCCAGATTTTCTCAATCATCTATCTAATTTTTTTTTTTTTTTTTGCTCTCTTGTCCGAGTTGCCATGATGAGAAACGCCTAGATTTGTCGTCATCACCTTGCTAGGACACCGTATGGTGCACCGTAGTACTCTGCAAGACGGTTGCTCCATTCATTTTCTCCCCCTCCATTATTCCCCAAACCCAGTCAGCATTGCTGCGACGTATGGAGTACCGACTGACAGGTTGAAAGCTCATGTCAGGTACCACCAACGTCCAATGGGCAATGAATGTGGCATGTTTTACGGAGCACTCTGCACAGGATAATTGATACAACTTTGGGTCCTAAGGGAAGAGGGGCCTGGTAGGAACCCGGTGATTTGAAGGATTTGAGACTGGTGGTTCTGTGTACAAATTTTTTTTTCTCTCCATCCAGCAAAAGGCCCTTGAGGCCCAGAATCATACGACAAGAAACCAGCCAGTTGCAGTGTTAGGGGGGAATAAAGAAAAGACATGCCATGCTCCCCAGTTGCATGCATACCCCTGATCCCTTCACCTGGTGCAGGTGGTTCATTCCAAACCAAACTCAACCGTGGACCCGGAGGCCTGTGACAGACATCTGTAACAGGTCTAGTTGAGGGTGTGGGGGGTGGAGGGGAGGAGTCTTTTTCGCTGTTCTAATTTTTGATTCGACCCTGGTCCTGCAACCTTGGTCTTTAGAGCCTTACGGTGTACTTGGTACTCTTCGAAGGCAGGGGGGTTGGGTGCCTTCGTTAGGCTTAGCGGACCAGGAGGGGGGGGAGGCGGAAAGGCCAAAGTAAAAAATTGGGAGCTGTCAATGGAAATCTCGTGGTCAAGGACAACCTCCGGAGCCAGTAGGCTTTGGCCATCCATGAAATGGCAAGCTGCCTCGTTTAGAAGGCACAAGGCGGACAGGCGATGATTGGCGAGCGCCATGGGGGGATTGACCCGGGTCAAGCAGGGAACCAATCGTGTCGGCCCATGGCGCCTGGGACTTTCCCTTTGTGGCCATGAGAAGGTTTCCGGCGGTGTGGGGGGTCCCCGGAAGGGTTTAGCGCGGGGTTGCTTGGGCTTCGAGAAGGTCGGGAGTCGTCAGCGTTGGGGGCTGCCCATCCACCTCATTGGCGCGTCCGCTGGGGAGGGATGGGGCAGGGCCTCATCATCGTCATCGGGGATTCCACAGATGTGTTAATAAGGATGAGCGTTTCATCTGCCCGGTTGAGTTAGGGTTTTTGGGCTGTGTTCAAAGGAAATAGGTTTCCATTGTGCACCGTAGCTATGCACAGGTCCCATGTCTTTTCTGTATGAGCAGGTTGGGCTTTCCCTTTGGTTAATGGTGTTTCAATTTTCATGGATTTATCCTTTATCGCCCATATTTTCGATTTTCAATATTCCTTCCAGCCCAAGATATCGATTCGATTCCAGATCTGTCAAGGACACGGTGGGCCTGAGTCAAGGTTTAATTAAGGATCATATCTGCATCCTAGCGCGTCTGGCGGCTCTTGGCTCTTCGTTGTCCTGTAAGGGGACTTGCCTGCCTGGAATTGGCATTCGGCCTAAGGATAAACTGACCTAGGAGAAATTCCCCGTCCATAAGACATCTCCCTTTTGCAGGCCAAAAAAATATTTTTTAAAAAATGTATTGGTGATTTCGGCCGCCCAGTACCTAGATAACCACCAGTAGATAGCAGATACGCTGATTGATAACAGCCCATGGCCTATCAGCCTCAAATCCACCCAAGTTTGGATGAAACTGCCACCCTTGCGACTACTGCACGTCTTTATCCGTGGGTACTCCTTATTGTTTGTATCTATGTCCGGAGTCGAACCCCGGAGACCTAGACCCAGGTCCGTATACGACTACGAGTCGCAACTTATGACAGTCCCTCGCCCTCTGTCCTTTCTTCTCCATCAGCGACTATCAAGGTCTCAGAGTAACCACTAACCACCAACAATTGATTGATTCGCCTCATTTCAGGGTCCATCGTTGCACCCACGAAAAATTATACTCCGTAGTCATAAGCAAAAAAGGAGGATCCACATCCATCGTACGTACTCACTCCGTTCGGGTCCTAGTTTAGCGCCCCAGCTGAAACAACGCCAACTCTGGCTCGGGGCTCCGCTGAGGACAGGCGAAACCCGAGTCACTTTGGGTAGGGCTGGCCGGATGATGCGATGCTCGATGCGATATGCATATGCGATATATATAGACGGGAGGACCCGACTTAGTATATACTCCGATTCTAGGCTGCGTTGGTGCCTTCGACGACACTTGGACCTTATTTCCTTAAACCCCTCGGCGTGGAGGTTGCTGCTTTGGTCATGCTGTGCATTGGCTCGTTGGCTAGTGGGATCGGGGTTGACATACGTAAGCGAGATCGTCGGATTAATCTAAGTAATACGACTCTATTATTCCCTGCCCCCTCGTTTCAGTTCCTGTCTCGCTTTCGAGTACACGGAGTCCTATGCAAGCATCTGGGTGCTCCGTAGCTACTCCGTAGTCCGTCCGATGTCTAGTTCATAGCCCTTCGTGGTACGCATCTAAGATACTTTCTTAGCTCTTGGCCCGATTATGGTCGCAACCGGAGATGAAACATAGCAATGCTATATGAGCTTGTTTATTGAGTTATATACTGACTCCGGTTCCAACCTTAGCCATTTACGTTCCGTAGCCCTAGTTTGCAGCCTTACCTGCATAGTGTAGCCCAAAAGAATAACTAAAAAAAAAGTAAATTGGGAGACGAACAAGGGAAACCCAACGGTTCTCAAGAAATTCTCCGAGAATACTGCACCATTGTCACACAGAATCCCTTGCCCTCCTTGCACTCCGACTCTGACGCCTTAAATCAAAAAGTGGCCATCCGAACCAACCAACCGCCTGCGTTGGGTTTATTGGTTGCGTTTGCAATTTCCCAGCCTTTCCCTACGGAGTACCTCCTCCGTGTCGTGATCACGCTGAGTGACATGACACTGTAGTGGCGAGGGGAATCATCATCACTATCCTAGGCATCTTCTCCGGACTTCACCCTCCCTCCGGGATCCAGTCACATTCATTGTACACCTAATCTCGCAGACGGCGTACTCCGTACACTTACGGAGTCGGACTGTCGAAGGCGAAGCAAACAATCCATCATTCATGCGATCATCCGCCAAGACGCGACACGTTCTCCATTCCTTCTCCAACATTCCTCCACGGTGTCCACGAGTGTACGACAAAGCAAGTTGATCACGTCGGTATTTCCACTTTCCCTTTTTTTTCTTTTTTTTTTTTTTTTTTTTTTTTTTTCAAACCTTACTCAGGGATTTCCCAGGCTGGGCACCAATGTACTCCGTATTCATCTAGCTGCGAAATGTTGATCCTCGTGGACGAACAGTGGTTCGACCTTTCTTAATTTTTTTTATATATTTTTATTTTTTTGCTTGTTAAACCCCTTCGGTTCGTTTCTGCGTCCCCTGTCCTGGACCAGGTGTCGTGCATGGCGATGGCAAGTGGGTTTTGATTGGGGTTGGGTTTCACATGGCAAGGTCCATGGGATCTTTGCAGTTTTTACCCAATCCGGCCATCGATGCCACTTTTTTCGAACAGTGGTACTCAGTACCTTATCCAATTTGGCAGATTGATTGCATCCGCTGACTAAGATCTGACTGCAGTGGATTAACAAACTAACTGCACCACTCTTTTAACCATCTTTTATCTAACTATTTCGGAGCAGTATTGGCAATTCCGAGACCCTCGATAGTGTGGCATGGATAATTCCCTCGTCTCAATTAATGAACGAAATTAAAAAAGCACACCCTTAGGCACTTAACACCCAGCGCCTCAAGCGCAGAACCAATACCAATCGTTCCCTCGTGCTCAGATTCGTCCTCCGAATCGGCGAGCGGACTCCCTCCACTACCTAAGCGGCGCCTGGGGTGAGGCGTCCACCGGCCTGTTTCACCATCATCGGGCACTTGACTTCGAACGGACATGCTCTGCTTTCTACATGCAACGTGCCCTTACGTGTTCCCTGTCCTCCACCGTCCATGGAATTGACCTCGAGGGGAGATAATTCTCCGTAGAAAGCCCGTCTGGATCTGACAAGGAATAACTACTACTGAGTAAGAGCGGAAAAAGAAAGGAAAGGAAAAAGGAGCCGGAACGCACGTCGGAAATTCCGACCTGAAAGGGTCTTGGTCCATGCGCAGTAGCAGAATCGGTAGCATCACCGAACCCATTTTGGCTTTTGGCTTTTGGCTAAATTATTACTGCACATTGATCATTCTTGGCCTGGATGATTGCGATTGGATGTGATAGGTTAGGGCTGTTTTGTCCCCCTCCGCCCCCTTTTTTGGGGGGGAGTGCTCTTATTTGTGCAATCTGCAGGGTTCATAGCCATTGTTCGCTGTATCAGGTAGGAGGGGTGGAATTGAAGGGGCTGGCTGGCTTCCATCATTGCCATTGTGTTTGGACACTTTGCAGCCTGCACGTGTTCGCAGGGAAAACGTGGTGTCAGGTGGCTTATCAGGTGATTGCAGAGCACAAGGAGCTGGTGACAGGTGAACATGTGATATGCAAACAAAACATCCCATGTTTGGAGTCCTCTCTTCCTCTTCCTTGCCGTCTGCATCATCTCTCCCTTGTCACACCTCTCCCTCTACCTCTCCCCAGGAGCCCTGGACGACTCGATTTGCTTCCTTGTCTTGGGGAGTGACATTGCTTACACAGAGACTGTCTGGACAGATGGCGTTCGGCTGGGATGACCCTCGCCCATGCGAATCACCGTTTTGACGCTAATAGCGTAGGCTTCGCGGATGCAACACGCTAGGCATGTCCGACCTACCCTACCAACGATGGCATTGTATCCGGCCGATGCGCACCATGCCCTGGCGAAGGTTTCTTTGTCGCGAGAGCCGCGCGCATCCAACACCAGTACCTCGGGCAGGCTGTGACTCGCTCCTCCCACGTTGCGGTCCAGGGATGTCGTCTCGGTAGCGGCTGGTTCGGGTAAGGCGTCGAGGGACAGCACTTTGTATGCGTATGTGCGGTAGAGTGGATGGCCTGGCAGACGGTTATGTTTATGCGATGTACCACTGGACGAAACCGATGAGGAGCTGTTGTCAGTTCCCCCGGATCCCGAGGGTGTGTTTTGAATCGATATGAGACCCCCCGGAGGTCGACATTCATGCGATGCGACGAACTGCACGTTGTATGTCAGTGGGATGGAGAGCGTTCGAGGAGGTTTGATGTTGTCGGAGGTTAGAGTAAAGGCCACGTAGGACTTGTGGGCCACCAGATGTGGCTTGCCCTGCAGGGGTTGCGCATCGTGGCTGGAGAGACTCAGCCCCTCAAAACTTATCTTGACTCCGTCGACCGGACCGTCTGTTGGCAGGGAGAAGGCACCACACGGCGTATTTCGCATGGGAAGAGGGTTGGAGTCGTGGGTCAGCTTTGGGCCCTGCTTGATGCGCGGCTTGCCGGGGACCTGCGGTGCAGGCTTCACGACGACCTCGAACCAGCTGCTGTGGATATCTTCTGACGTGTGGGAGTCCTTGGGGAGAACGGAGCTGCCGATCCATCCCATGGATTCTTTGGTGCCTTCCAAGCTAGCCAGCACTCGGCCGACGATGCATTCTTTGCTCCACCAGCTTCGACCGGAGTACGAGAGCCCGCCGTAAAGGTTGATAACCGGTCCGAGATGAGCCAACGCATCCGGGTCGTTCTCCAACATTGTAGCCATCAGTAAGTGGTTGGTCATCTCGCCGGGCATGACGAAGCCGGACAGCCAGCTTCTCGTGATCCAGCCACCGAGATCCCCGGAATCTTGGGAGCAGTGCAGCAGTAATCGTCGCCGAAACGGGCTCCGGCTGTACATCTCATCTATCTTGGAGCCAAGCTCAACGCCTTCAGGTACTACATTGTGAGTGGGGGTGTTGTATGCATCTGCTAGTTGTTGATTAGTTGGGTCATCTCCGACCTTGGACTGAAGCTGCGCCTTTACGGCATTCATGCCGGGCCAACCGATGTTGTCGGCAAAGACAAACAGTCCCTGCAATTGCAGGTGGACATGGGATGGAGTGAGCTTGCAGTTCCAGGAAGATTCGACGGGCCCTGCTGGAGGGGATGTTGACCTGTGCATGAATCTCTCGAACAAACGATGATGATGTCGTCCGCCGTGCTCGTGAGTTGGTGACGATGGAGTTGAGACTTTCCCGTCCGACGCCACTGCCGGCTCATCTGCCTTATAGCTGATGGTGAAGCTATCCATGAGGCGTCGCACGACAACGATGTCCCAATCGACCTTGCCGTTTCGCGTCTTATCGAAGTCCAACATATCTCTAGGAGACGGGCGAAGTTCATACGAATGGCCCAGAATCCCCAGCCGCACCGTCGCATCTAGACGCAGAAGTAATTCCCCTGCAAGGAGCATCTGAACCAAGTACCATTTGCGTTCCAACGTCGGGTGAACCCACGGCTTATGGCTGGTGCTGGAATCTAGGAAATCACCATCCGCATGAGGAGCTCCTTCCCAGAGCAGTTGTCCGGCCCGTAATCGCCATTCCGGCAGACTGAAGTTGGCCCAGGCCCCCGGCGTGGCCAGCGCAACCGTGAGGGCCTTGATCTGCGCTTTGATCCCGTGCGGATCGTTGATCGCTTGCAGCATGAAATGGGGTAGGGGGTAGAGAAATTTGGTGAACAGCTCTCTCGACAGCTCGTGCACCGACTCCCGGTCCGTAATCGATGTTGCCTTTGTTCCGTGCAGTATCTCATCTCGGATATCGGCCAGTTCTCGCAGACGCTCCACCAATGTTTTCAGATCAATGTCTCGAACGCCGATTCGCCGCCAGGCCAACGGGCCCTCGCAAAGAAGTTCTTTCCGGTCATGTACGGTGCCGTCTTCGCACTGCGAGTACGCGTCCTGGTAGTGTTCCATCAGTTCATAGGCTGCCGTAGCCGGTAGGGACGAGAGGTTCATATATCCAGCCATCGGTCTCGGGATTTCCGGTCCGACATAACGGACCGCATCGCAGATGGGAAGCTCGAGGAAATGACACGAGCCTATCGTTCCCGGTTCCCTTCCGTACATTGAAAGCATATTGGGCGTTTCATAAATCCCAACATCGAAACTCGCCCTCTTCGGCGCCGCGGTCCGTTTCCAACATTCTAGACGAACGGGAGTATTATCTCCTTGAATGACCCACCCATCGGGAAGCGGTAAATGGGCATGGAGCGTACATAACGTGAACGAGGCGTGGGCCAGCGGCCTCCTATCCCACAAGTTCTGGATAAATGGGTCGTGGTCATCAAGCGGGAATATCACCTGCAGATACCAGTGTGCATGTCTTCCCTTGTCGAGTAGAAACACGGGCGCACCCGAGAAAAGAAACTCGGTATCTTCTTTCGCCAGATTGGCCTCTGCAGATGGCGCCTTGCTGGGTTTCTCATGCTGCGGTTTCGTTGCGGTTTCGGTGCCTTTCGTTTCGTCGGATTTCCGACCGTCTTGCTCTGACGATTTGCTCGGCGACTTCGCGGTAGGGGTGGGTTTGTCGCTGGAGTGTGATTCGACCTACGCATGGTCAGAATCCTTCTATCTCAATTTTCCCTAACTGATGCGTTCTCCTTACCCTTGCCACGGTGATAGGAGCAGAAGCAGCAGGTTGCGTAGTCTCCTCATCCGGATGTCTCCGAAACAGCTCATGAAGCATCCCCTGGCCACGAGGCTCCGTGCCATGCGGTCGCACATGCGGTTGCGAATTCCTTCTCCGAAGCGTAGTCGGCATCGCATCGTCGTGAGCCGGCGGCGCTCCGGAGACCGAATGTCTCCGACCGAAGAAGAACGACATTTCGCGTGTACCTTTCTATATCTGAATCAGGGCCAGTGTCGTCGCTATCGCTATCGCTGTGAGTGTCAGTATAAACCATACGTCCAATAATCAAGATCCCATCAAGATCACATAACAGGTAATAAGATCGCTCGATATTTAAATCAGGGGCGCGGCTTAAGTCCTGTATGTTTTTTCTTTTCCTTGACTGTTTCTTTTTCTGCGGGGTTTCCCAGGTCACAGGTTCAGGTTCACTCACATACAGTGAAAAGTATGTATGAATGCCTGTCTGCAGGTAGGTAGGTAGGTAGGTTACTAGGTACAGTACCTCAGACCTGCGCAGATCAATCCACGTCCAATTATTCTTAAACCCAAGGTTGCGCTGATCCGGTTAGGTTAGGTTCGGTCGATCAACTCTCCTCGTCCATGTTTTATGCTTTCTTTTTATTTTTTTCGGCACGCCGTTTTCTGTCACATGAAACTCAGAAACTCATTCAGAGCGCGGGATTGCAGTACAATATTAGGGGATATGAGATGATATATAAAGAGATGGGAACCATGGAATCGGTCTGGAATCGATGACGTCGTTGGTGAGCGGGTGTATTAGTAGGTTGTTTCTTGCCTGATGGGGTGGAGGGGGGAGGTCAGCTGTTAAGTGTTAGTTAGTTAGCTGTTGGTTAGTTAGTGGGGATCATGATCTGCGAGGTTTTTTGTTCTTTCTTTATTTTCGGAGTAGGTGTTTTTTTTATTTAACTCTTTTGATTTTTTGTTTTTCGTTGATCTGGCCATCGACCACATGGTATGGATCATAGACTAACATAGATTTCATGTAGGTAGTAAGTAATAGGGAATAGATAGATAGCAGTACACAGTAAGTTAGGTGACCGACTGACTGACCAACTGACTCAGGTCGTGGCAAGCAAGATATGACATGGCATGGCAAAGATTAATGGCATGATCTATCATCTAGGGAGGTAGCTTCCTCTAGTCCCGGGCGGGGCGGGACTCGGTCGGTTCCTAACCGGTTTGATGTCCAACTAGTCACGAACTGAGTAGTAACTACAGTCAGTCACTTCCTTCCATGTTCCGTTTATTTCAAAGGTGTATGATTCAGGTGGACTGCTTGGTTTATTGACAAAATTAAGTACTCGCTAGTTCGGCAGGTAGGGAGGTGGTTTGGGGGATTTGTTACTTTTAAGTTACTGGGATGGTGTATAGTATAGATAGTAGGTAGCTATGGATACTACGATGCAGACAAGTGTTATGGAATGGCTCTTATCGACTACTAATATCTGGTGTTGTTAGCTATTGGCTTCTGTATATAGGTCTCTATATACATCTGGGTGGATTTCGGCAGCTGGATGTTTTAACTTCGTGGTTTACTTATGCTAGGTATTGCCCGAGTTGAGGCACAATTGTATATAACTGTACCACGACAACTCATCCTGGGTACGTATGTACTATATAGTTATTTGACATTCCCTCAAGCTAGTAAAATAAAGTAACCGTGAACTCAAATAAATAACATTACTCATTATCTACCATTCAGACCTCCGAATCAGATTCAATCTATCAGCGATCAGCGATAGAACAGAGACACCAGAACCTAGACAGAAAAAACCATCCACCTAAGCATGCTGATGCAAAAAGTCCAACGCAGTCCGATACCCCCTCTCATACTCCTTGCGCACCTCCTCATTCTCCAAATCCGACCGCGCCGCCATCCACCCATGGATCTGGCTAGTAAACGTCTCCACGTAGTGCGGCTTCGTCAAGTTATCCCCGAACGCCGTCACGTCAGACGCGTTCTCGTCCTTCGACGCCAACAGCGCCATGGGCACATTCACGGACTTAGCGTCATCCGGGGCCAGCATGGCCGGGTGACACTGCACGGCGGCCTTGAACGTCTTGTTCTCCTGGCCGGTCGCCAGCGTCGCGATCTTGCCGCCCCAGCAGTATCCGAGGATCGACCAGTCGAAGGGCTTCCCGGCGGGCGCGAGCTTGTTGGCCTCGTCGACGACGCTGGGGATCCGCGCCAAAGTGGCGGGCGGGGCGGCCTTGGTCTGGAAGAAGTTGCCGAGCTTGGCCTTGTGGTCGTCGGTTTGGGGCGGGAACCAGGAGATGTCGGCGGGTTGGCCCTCGAAGAAGTCGGGGATGAAGACGCGGTATTTTTGCGAGTTGGATGTCGAGAGGATGTCTGCGCCTTGGAGCGTTTGGGGGAAAAAGCCGAAGATATCTGCAGATTGGGTTAGATGGTGGGGGGGATTGGAGTTGAGACAATGGGAGGGGGCTACGAACCATAGATGACGAGGATCGCCTTGGTGGCGTCTTCGGGGCCGGTGACGTCTAGATGTCGGTTAGTCGATTCTCTTCTTTTATGTCTCACGGTGAATGGGCTGATTGAGACGTACAGGTCTTCAGGCCATTGATGGTCTTGTATTCACCCTTGGCCTGGTAGTTCTTGGCCACGACGGGAGGGATGCTATAGCCATTGATCAGCAAAGTGCGTCTTCTGCAGTACGATGAGGAACCTTACGAGCAGCAAGCCTTGCTAACGCCAGACATGTTTGCGGAGGAGCAATGGATTGAACGGAAACTGGAAATCGGTCGAGGTTGTTTGAGCGACGAGAAGAGGGACCTTCGGAGCGGGGCAGCCGAGGCAGAAGCGGAAGCTAGAAGCTGTTTGTATATCATTAGTGCTGAGTCTTGACGATGCAGAGATAAATGATTGGGAACGTAGAATGGACGTACAAGAGATAGGGATGTATGAGAGATCAATTGACGAGGAGAAGGAGGGGAGGAGAAGGAAAGAGGAAGAGCGACGAGCGAGAAGAGAGTGAGGATACCCGGCAAAGCTCAACCCCGCGGTCGACGTCATTTCGGCTAAGTGCACTGTTCCCGAGCAAATGATGTAAGCCATACATAATCCATCGTTCACCACTATAGACCGATCAATAGAGATCTCACGTAGGCAGGGGATTGAGTATCATCGAGGGATTAGATGCTACGAGATAGTGAATGGATATATTGTAGGCATTTAAGGTGATCTGCCAAACATTCCACATTTGTCTCCTCCTTATGAACCTGCTATTTATACCCTGTATGGATTTAATATTGGGAGGACCAAGAATGAATGGATTTAGCTAGTTGATGATTATGTATGTTAGTTGTCGAAGAAGATGAGGTCCTTTCAGTGAGTAAACGGTGAAATGCTTGGCAGATTGCCTCAGGCATTCAACATACCTATGCAACAACATGGAAGACTTCACTCGCTCTGCCTCCATCAATTACTCACTTGAATCATCCCGTCTTTCTGGCTTACACATCTAGATAGTTATTTCCTTTTTTTAGTGATTGCGGATCACAGCGGTTGTCATCTAGCATCTAGAACTTCCACAATGCTAACTCCCGTCCCATCTAAGCATCAACAAATCCGAAACAAACAATACTGGTTTATTCTAGGGGAGTGTTACAGGCACACCCCTTATTCTAACATGAACCAAATCACGGAAATGATAATCCAAAGCTTTAGCTTGGCTTCAGCTTCCCTATCTCGCCCATGATAAAGCTGGCCAGAAATCAAGTACCGCAAGCACGTCTTACCTCCACCTCCTGACACCATGCTTAGCTGCAGAAAGTCCCGTCTTCAACCCTGCCGAATCTTATCCATCCATCCATTCTTGCTCGGGGATCTTCCGTTGTAAAGGCTTGCTCCTGCTATTTCCTGCTAGACAGTGTTAGACAGGAAGCAGGCCTCTCCACGAGCCCCTCATGTCTCCTCTCCCCTCAACGCCATGGCTATCAGTGACGGAACCTAATTGTCACGCAATCACGAGCTGCGTTGACATCTTTGCCGAGATGACTTAAAGGGTGTTGTTTTCGCTACTGATGGTCTTACTGAAGAAGAGACAGGATTGCACGATTTGAGTCCCGTCAGTCCTAATCGCAGGTCGAAATGGACACCGTACAGTCGCGTCGCAAGTGGTGGCGCATCCAGTGGTTCGCGGACCAAGACACGAAGGAAGAACGGAAGCTGATCCTGAAATTGGACTTGTTGATCGTCCCGTATGCCTTTCTGGCCTATTGGACGAAGTATATTGATCAGGCGAATATCAGTACGTTCCTTATTCTTGCTTAATGCTATCTGGCTTGTCCCATCTAATTACGCTGGACAGATAATGCCTACGTTTCCGGTCTCCAGGAAGACATCGGCCTGCATGGCAATGAGCTCGTTAATCTTCAAACCATGTATACGGTCGGCGCCGTGGTCGGGCAGATCCCCTTTGCGTATCTGTTCACGAAGTTTCCCATGTCGTGGCTCATTCCAGCGTTGGATATCTGCTGGGGTATTTTCACGCTGTTGCAGTATCGGGTCACTGGGTATGGGGAGATGATGGCGTATCGGTTCTTGGTGGGTTGGTTTGAGGTTCGTTTCCCTTTCTTTTCTCCATTCTATATCATCCCGGGGTCCCTAGACGAAGGATGCTGATGCCATGGCTTAATGACAGGCTGCGTTCTTTCCGGGAATGCATTATATATTCGGTATTCCACCCCATCCCCACTACTTCTGCGCGGGCAATATTAACGTAAACAGGAGCCTGGTATCGAGGCGACGAGATCGCCCGTCGAGGTGGCTGCTTCTACGTCGGCCTCACCCTCGGCACCCTAACAGCCAGTCTCATCCAAGCCGGCACATCAGCCCGACTCGACGGCGTGCACGGCCTCGCCGGCTGGCGCTGGATGTACATCATCTGCGCAATCATCACCATCCCCATCGGCATCCTCGGCTACTTCATTCTCCCCGGCACGCCTGACAAGCCAAACCGCATCGTCATAAATGACAACGACCTCGCCCTGTCCAAGGCCCGCCTCCACCGCGCCGGCCACCAGTTCACCGGCCGCTTCACCTGGTCCACCATCATCTCCGTGCTCTCCAACTGGCGCTTCTGGGCCCTCCTCCTCCTCGACGTCTTTTTCTGGAATGCGTGCCTGAATACTAGCGCTGGCGGGTACCTCCTGTGGCTTAAATCCCTCGACCGGTTCTCTACCAGCCGTCTGAACGAACTCGCCGCTGTCTCCCCCGCGCTGGGTATCTTCTATACCCTGTTTATCTGCTTCGCGTCGGACCTGCTCTTCGGTCCTGCGTGGGCCATCACTGTCTCTCACATCTGGAACGCCATAGGCCTGATCATCCTGGTGGTTTGGAACGTAAGGGAGTCCGCGCTGTGGTTCGGTTTCTTGACTACTTACTCGGCCGTCGCCATGTCGAGTGTGCTTTATGGCTGGGTTAATACGTTGCTGAGGTATTCGCCTGTTGAGCGCGCCGTTACGCTCGTGGCGATTAATACCATCGCGCAGTCGACGACTATCTGGACTCAGTTGTTGGTGTTTAAGACTGTTGAGGCGCCCCGCTTTACGAAGGGGTATTCGTTTGTGTTGGCGAATGCGGTGTGTTTGATTGCGACGGCGCATGCGATTCAGCTTTCTATAAAGAGGTAGGTTTGACTTTCCCCTTCTCCTTGCTCTCTTTGGCTCATTGAGAGGAAGATGTTATGCTAGTGTAGTGCAAGTATCGTGCATGTGATAATGAGGAATGAGGCTAACAGTCCACATAAACAGGAGAAAGCAAAACACGTCAACGTCAATATCATCAAACGAAGCCAGCGAGACGGGTGAAGAAGAATCTGTGGTGCAGGTTGCCCAGACGAGTACTAAAGACTAGATTCCAAACGGTCAGGATCCAATTCGAATGACGACAGGGCCGGAAACAGAAGAATTTGCTTCATTTTCATCGGTCGTGAGATAGATGGAAATATCTTGATGGAGGTAGCTAGCCTCCTTAAATGACTGATGCTCTTGAGACCTTAATGTAGCTCTCCAGAGCGGATAGTACAACTCCGACGTATCCTATTCGAGATAGAAGGTCTGGCTTTCAGCCGAGAAGGTGGTTTTGAATAATTCTAGAATCGGTCCAATTTAGTTTGTTTTTCATATACACGCAAGGTGCTGAAGAGATATGATGAAAGGCATTCGATGACTAGAGCCTTCGATGGAAAGGCAAGTACTTTCGGGTATAGACTTTACTGGAGATGTTCATTTCCTCATCCCTTCCGTCACAGATTGAGACATACCCCAGCTTTCCATAAGGGCTGGCTGCCCCCAACCTTTCATCCACGCTGAGTGCAACACATCGTGAGCCGTCGCTCGATTCCCCGGCCGAAACGTGAGCATTGAACAAAGCATGGCCTCAAACGCCATCCTCTCGCTCTCCGTTACGATCTCCAGGCCCGCCTCAGACCGAGGCTCCTGTATGCAGTACTCGAACCTCACATCCCAGGCCCTGCGCACTCCATCGTAACCCCACCCCCTAGACATCTTCGACTGCAAATACAACCCCCCTCCTCGTTAAACCAGTCCAGTCTTCTGTCCCATTTCTTCCACCATTCGTGAGGCAGCATACCAAGCGTCTCGACCTGCTCTGCGGTGACTCGATCAGCTATTGGTCGAAACGCCTCGAATAACGGCCGCTGGCCGAAAATCTCTCAGATGTTACACGCGAGCGTCCAAATGTCTGAGGAGAAGGAGAGCGGGGCGTTAGAGAATCGGGCTTCGGGAGGTTGTAGGAGTGGTAGTGTCTTGGACGAGAATCGGGATGTTCGATGAGGGTTGAACGATTCGCCGAAGTCGCTGAGGACGATGCGTTCCTGTCCAAGGGGAATCTCGTTGCTGGGAATGCCGTACCAACTGGGCATGAAGACTTGCTCAGGGACATTGGTTGAGAGGGGCGTGCCGTCGAGGCGAACAACGGCCTCTGGGTCTGGGTCTCCGTATTTTTCGTATAGTTCTGACGGGGAATAAGAGTCGATTGAGTCAGGGAATTGGACTAGGATGTTACCTAGATGGAGGTCTTGGTGGGTATAAAGGTCAATTAAGCAGGTGATTCAGCGGGATTCTTTCTTTTACCAAGTTCACATACCGCCGTGTACAATGCCTTCACTCTGTAAGAAGGCCACCCAGCGAACAAGCTGAGCGATATTCGACCGCGCCACCTTCGGTGGAAAAGGCCGAACGTCGAGGCTTCTTTCGCATCGAACAGACCCATCTGCGCGGGCGGAGTGACAAGACACCTATGTTTCCCATTGGGACCGACAGCCCAAAATTCGTCGATCAGGGGTGGAATGATCTCGCTGCCCGTTCTAGACGGCGAGGTCGCAAGAGACTGGATAAGACTCGCCTCGGGGGGTGCATGGACTGGCCTCAGCGGTGATGACTTTCACTGCCACATACTTGGCCCTTTGGAGGTCTCGGGCGAGCCATATAGTCGAGTAACCGCCATATCCAAGCTTGCCAACTAGTCGGTATCGACCATTGCCCATGTCGTCTCTTATTGTCAAAGGATGATAGCCCCCCGGGACAGTATCTGTCTAGGTCTTCCATATATTCAATGATCTTGTAATGTGTCTTGCCGGGTCTTGTGAGCGATGGTCGCGATGCATCTCGGCTCATATTAGGCTCTTTTAGGGAGGCGCAGGTGGACATTGGCGCCTTTCGGGCATGAGACTGGCTCGAGACAAAACTGCATAATAACTTATGGAATCTTTTGGTATTTATACCAGTGCGTGCGAACATTGAAGGGGGCAAGTGCTTTCAATGATCTGTGGATGGACATCGATGGCGTCTATCAGGCACTGGCTCAAGGGGGTTTGATGCATGCCCGTGGAAACATCTGCGAGCCGATCGCGCGTCTACGGTATGTTTGACTAATCAGTCCTGTCCTCACCCAACTAACTAATCCTACTACTGTACATTTATACAATCCGGTTACTTGTAGGCGAGCAACTTTCGTACTTGCAGAACTCCGAGTATCTTACTGGGTGTATTCGAAGATATACATACATACGTTCAGGGCGGGCCTGGTATAGATCAATCAAGAAAGCTAGCAAGCTAGCAAGCGACCGGAATTTAAGCAGATCGATTGACAGCCCTAACAGTTATTGGTGGCCTATGAATTTGGGCATCTGGATTTATGAGAAACACTGGAATCTCGCTTTCTCTACCCTAGCTTGGTACGTGGCTAAGGAGAACAGTGTCTTCGCTACTAGTGCCTACCAGGGTTCGAATTGTAGTACAGTGTCCAGACTGATGAATTATTTAAGAATAAGCGATTATCGTTAAGATGTCAGAGGGAAAAAGAATTGAGAAAGAGCATACCAGTTCAATAGAGAGACAGGATATGCTATAGATGTCCGACTATGCGGAGTAGACTACTGGTCAACAGCCCCCCTGCAGCACGCAATCCACTCTCTAATGATGACATTCGTCTCCGCATCTACAAGACCGAGCATCGGTTAGATGTCCGCATACCCCTCGATACTTACATAGCAAATAATATCCAAATAGCAGTGACAATTAAAGCGGAGACAATGACGAATAACTCACCATTTACGCCTCTACCTATCTGTCTGGTTGCCTGTCAGCCTGCCGCACGGGTATCGGCATCCTACCGAGTAACGGAGTACGATCGTCAAGCAATGATAAACCGCGCTGCATGTCAGTATCTCACGCGATGGTGATACATAATGGCGATATGTGGGGCCTCTTGTGCAACGAGGGGTCTTGCATCAGATAAGAAGAGGGGGACAGACGGGCGATTGGGAACTGCGCCCGAATCAATTGAATTGAAACGTTCCTGAATTGTCAGCATGGGCGATAGCACTGCAGCTGGCCAAGATGGCCTTAATGGGAAGAAGCAGATTCTCCTGAATGCGTTTGATATGTCCACCGTGGGGCATCTGTCGCCTGGTCAGTGGAAGGTGAGTTTATCAGCCAAAAACAATACAGCAAGTGTAGATGAAGGTTGACTGAGCATTGCAGAACCCGGTAGATAAGTCGGCCACGAAGCGCAAGCTGGACTACTGGATTGAGCTGGCTAAGCTGCTTGAACGCGGCGGTATCAATGCCTTGTTCCTGGCGGATACATACGGCGGGTATGACACGTACGAGGGCAAACTGGATGAATGCATTCGACGTGCTGCGCAGTGGCCTGTCACCGATCCGACCATTGTATGTTGCGCTTGAATTCGGAATGGATGGGTCCAAACAGCTGACTCGAGAATAGCCAATCTCGGCCATGGCTGCCGTGACCAAGAACCTGGCGTTCGGTATCACGGCTTCCACCTCGTTCGAGCCGCCGTTCCTCCTTGCCAAACGCTTCTCCACGTTGGATCATCTGACAGATGGACGTATCGGTTGGAATATCGTCACCTCGTGGAAGAAAGCGGCCTTCAAGGCGATCGGACTCGACACGCCTATCGAGCACGACGAGCGATATCGTCAAGCTGACGAATATCTTCGCGTGCTGTACAAGTAGGTTGCGTGCTCGTGGACTTCATCAGCATGGTTCGCTGACATCTGCCCTCAGGCTCTGGGAAGGATCCTGGGCACCCGATGCCGTCTCGCCGAACCCGGAAACCGACACCTACGTGGACCCCGAGAAGGTGCGCCAGATCAATCACAAGGGGAAGTACTTCTCGCTCAACACTCGACACATCGTGGACCCGTCGCCCCAACGCACACCGTTCCTGTTCCAAGCGGGGACGTCCGCCGCCGGCTCGGCTTTCGCGGCGAACCACGCCGAAGCCATCTTCGTCTCGAGCCACTCCCCGGCCGTGCTGCGTCCCAAGATCGACAACATCCGCAAGCTGGCAGCCGAGCAGGGCCGCGACCCGCGGTCCATCAAGTTCTTCTCGACCTTCACGCCCATCATCGGCCGCACGGACGAGGAGGCGCAGGCCAAGTACGAGGAGCTGAAGAAGCACGCGTCGGTGGTCGGCGGCCTGGTCCTGTTCAGCGGCTGGACCGGCATCGATATCTCGCGCATCCCCCTCGATCAGGATATCACGGCCGCGGACTCGCTCGAGGCCCACAAGGTCACCAGTATCCTGGACTCGTTCACCACGACCAGCGAGGACATCCCCAAGTGGACGCCGCGCGTGGTGGCCGAGAAGGCGGCGATCGGCGGCCTCGGGCCCGTAGCCATCGGCAGCCCGGCACGCGTGGCGGACGAGCTGGAGCGGTGGATCCGCGAGGCGGACGTGGACGGGTTCAATTTGGGGTATGTCACGACGCCGGGGACGTTTGAGGAGGTGGTGGACCTGTTGATCCCGGAGCTGCGGCGGCGTGGCGTGTATCCCGAGTTGAGCGAGCAGGAGGACGCGCTGACGGCGCGCGAGAAGGTCTACGGGAAGGGACAGAGCGAGTTGCGGGCGGATCATCCGGGTAGCGGATATAAATATGATGTTTATCAGGAAGAGCCTCCGTACGAGGCGGAGGAGTCGGAACCTGCCCCTGCTGCATCTTAGACAGTGAGTTAGTTAGCGCACATTCATCGAAAGGAGGGAGAGAAACGAAATGACCGTCATCGAAGAGAACAAATGGCATCCACAATTCCTACCTCGTATCATTGGATTCTAGGAGACAGTATGCAGAGCGTACTCCGTACTCGAAGTGGAAGAGATGAGGTTATCATAAGCAGAATAAACTACAGGCGATAAGCCACCACAACGCCTTTGCCTTGCGGTCCCGTCGTGGACTTGCCGGGTTCTTCTTCCCCCCCCCCCTTGGCTGGCGATTTCGATCTAGTCCCTTCGCTGCTGCTTGTGTCTAGACCGGTCTCTGCGCTGCAGAATGCCCCATCTCGTGACTCGACCGAACATTCTTGCCAGGAGACTAGGCGGTTTTGGGCGAGGAGGGGGGTGGAAGAGATCGATCCAGAACCCGGTCGCATATTCCTTGCCTTTTGATTTATTTTTTATTTTAATTTTTTTATCTGTCTTCTTTTTATTTTATTTTCGATTTCGTTTCTGGAGCAGTGTGTTCGCGTGTGCGTGTGTGTGTCGGTACCTAGCCCCCGTATCCCCCCCTACGGTATGAGAAGACGGGAGATCTAGAACAAGGCTGAGAGGAAATCAAGTAAAATGCAGATAAGACAGAAGACCACTCCGAAAACTAATCACTCGCGAAAGAGAATGAAATAAAAAAAGGACAAGGAAAAGGAAAAGGAGAATCAAATCCCTGCTCTCCCCCGCTAATCCCGTCCGGGAGCATCATGGGATTTGGTCCTTCACCCTTGGCCGTGATAAGTTAACACTGGGTAGTTAATTCGCCTCGGAGGGTCCACCGGGACTGTAGCATAATTTCTGATGTACAGTAGCCGCGCTTTCAGTCGGTGTTAGCTCTCCGCCTTGAGTCGTGAGTCGTGGCGGTCTGACATTTTGTCTGTCTGTCTGACTGACTGACTGACTGACTGACTGACTGACTGACTGACTGACTGACTGAGGGACTGACGGGCGGACGGTTCGTTAGGGATAATGGGGTTACTAAGGTGGCTAGTCCGTAACTAGGTACTAGACAAGTACCTGCCAGGTATCGGCTCCGGAGACGTCTAGACCATATTCCGAATTCGTATTTGCCTCGATAGAAATGACCAACTATCAACTATCAACTATTAACAACTCTGTACTAAGATATTTGGGAGACTACTCTGTAGGTAAATGCTGTAGAGCATACTATAAATACAATCACTTATTATATATTATCCCCAAATCCCAAACCCAATGGAGGATTGAGGATTCAGCGTAGCACGGAACCCCACCTCCGGCCTGCAACGGAACAAACATCTGATTTCAGTTGAGCCTGACTGGCGTTGAATCCCAAAATTGACCTGTCGACCGTGGTAGAGTCAAAAGCAGGCAGGTACATGACTGGTACTCCCTCCTTTCCCCCTCCCCCTTCCCCTTTCCCCGGACCATGATGTGCCAGATTTTTTTGTTTTCTGTAATTATTTCTTTTATCATTATGGCCACGCCGATACATACTTCGATACAAGCAAACGGACGGGGGTGTCTCTGATGCAGAAGATCGACCCAGCTGGTCCAGTGGGATGGGTCCCGACGCGAGGAGAATGCACCTGCAGGTCAAGGTGGTCGAGAATGAACTATTTATCTACTGTAGACTGAGACTGAGTTCTCGCGAGTGCTGATTTCCATCGGTCGCATGTAGGTAGATAGGTGAGTGTTGGTGCAGCCAATGTATGGTTATCTATCACCTTGGATTTGGGCCATCCCCCTCTCTTCACCCCTCTTTATTGCTTTGTCTGGACTTGGGAGTGTTTCAGTATACGGAGTACAGTGCATGGTGCATTACATACCCTACATAGGCGTGCATGGGTGTAAAAAATAGTCAGTAGGTAGTCGGCTCCTCCGGGCGTCCCCAGACTCTGTAATCTGTAATCTGTACGGAGGAATGTCTAAGAAGCCGGGGTGGGAATAGTCGCAAAGACGGGGACTCGACGTACAGTGCTCCGTAACTAATCATT